TGTTGCTTTATCATTTTTCTTCGTCTGCTTTCCCCTCTGCTGCCATATCTCTCGCTTTGTATTTGGCCAAGCTTAGTTTTTGGGTTCGAAGGCGACTTGCACTGCCAGCGACATATATTCAACCAAAAAAAAACTCTACCGAAAAAAAAAAAAAAAAAAATATAGGAAGTGGGGGGTAGGGGGTTATGCTAGGAAGCAATACATTCACAGTTTGTGTTTGTGTGTGTGTGTGTGTGTGAGGGGACAAATGATAAATGAATTTGTGATAAATGAAGCATGTGGCCAAAAGTTGAAAATACTTTTTACACACAGTTTTGGATTTCGTTTTGGTGAAGGGCAATAGGAGGGTGAAGGGGGAGGTGGGAAAATGGAAAATGTTGGGGGTTGGGGGGTGGGCGGCTGAGGTTTACGGTGGGCGGTTTGCAGTAGCCAAACGTCTATCGAATTATGAATGGGAAAGGCGCTTATTGCCAGGTTCAGATATCAGCAATCCGACAGTTTTGGACAAAGGCTCGCTTCATTAACATTGCCTTTTCCACCAGACACCACACACCACGCACCCACCCCCCAAACAAGACCACTTTTACCTGTTTTCCCCAATTTCCCACACCACTCCACCCACACATTTCTGGTCTTTATTTTGCTATGCAAACTTTTCTGGCATTTTCCAACTAATGGAGGTGCAGGGCAGATCTTTAGGTTCTGCAAATGATGGGCATGATTTGCTGTTCGATTTGTAAGTAGGGCACTTAGGGAGAAAAGGGAGCACAATAATATGATAATACATACAAAGAAGCAAGCAAAAAAAGATAAAATTGTACCACAAACATAAAGTAGTAGGGCTTTAGTGCTGATAAGAAGAGAATTAGCACAACAAACGCTAACTTCACTTAATCATATAAGAGTAACCAATTTATAATATATTTAAATATAAATAACTTTGAATTAAATATAAATCAGAGTTTTAAAAATTACACATTGTGCTTAGAACCTTCATAGTCTGATAAAAAGTATTTTTTTTTCTTCAGTGATATTTTCACTCTAGTTCCAGCTTCTTCTTCACTTTTTTTTTTGAGAAAGTAGCCAAACAAGTGGATCAGAGAAAGGAGGAGAAATGGGAGAAAGAGGGACCCAAGAGGTGTGGGTGAAATGGGCAAGTGTGAGTGGGAGAACAGAAGTGGAGCGATTACTTTTGAATAGTTTAACAGCTGTTCCAAGTAAGTGTGCAATGGTGAAAAAGGCGGTAGGAAAAGTGGGAGGATGCAGTAAAATAAATGGTCAAGTAATTGGGAATCGAGATTGGTGCGGGGATTAAGTTGAAAATGAGTGGCTGTTTTTCACAGTGAATCAATCTTGCTTGAGAACTGATAAAAAATGCAATCTAATGGCTAGATTCGAAAATAAAAATAAAGCACAAACGAGCTGCTGAGATTATTTATATTATTCAATTTAGTACTTAGCACTGCAGTTTATGAACACAAAATACTATTAATATTAAATTCATGTTTTCCAGCCTGCAAAAATTAAAACCTTTTGACTTTTGCAACTAGTTTTGCACCCACACATTCACACTTTAAAAATACACCTTTTTTTTAATGGCGATTTTCAAGAAAACTTCCCACTTGATCCATGGAAGTTGATGCCACAATCCAATCCCAATCTCGATCCCGACACTCTTTCCGGATCCAGAATGGCTAGACGTGGTCTCAGGTCTCAAGGTGCCCATTGTTTGGCAGTTGTGTGTTGTTGGTCAGCTTGTGTTGCCATGTAAATCAATGCATTATTTTCCCACGTCGTTTCAACAAAAAAGCCAAAACTCATTTATCAGAGGCGGCATTTCAACAACAAAAGGCAGCCACACCAACAACAATAAAAACAGCGGCCCACACAACAACAAGAACAACAACAACAACAACATTGGGCGCAATATCGAACAAGAAATGAGCAGCATCATCATTTATATAGCCCATAACCATTGCCCATATAAGTCCGTACATTTGGCGTTATGTATGTCTGTGTGTAAACAATCGTATGCTGATGATTATATAGTGTGATGCCTATTATCGCATCAAAACGAATTCAATCGAATCTAACTTGGGTATTTTTTGAACTGGGTATGATTAAAGAGTTAAGCAGTTGGTGGGCAAAGACTTTCGTATGAGTTAAGAATACACTTTCATACCAACGTCGCGCATGTTTTTAAACCTATATCTTTTTATTAATATATTTCACAAAATATTTTAATGCATACAAAATATATGGGTAGTTTTAAAAGATTTTGTTTTATTGATAAGACATTGTGTTGTTTTATTTATATAATGGTTTTTCCCTAATATTATAAGACTTTGATACGATATCCGAGTAATCACAACTCTTTTCTAATTATAACCTATAAAATTCATTATCATAACTTTATTTACTTTACCACCCAACTTCGAATCTTCTGAGAGCATTTTGTGTTCGTATTTAGTCCCCTTAGTTTTCCCTCTATTCCAATTCTTTGATTTCTTTGTTTTTGTGGTGGGACAACAAACATTTAATTTATGGCCAACATTTAATTGCGAAAATTCAGCTTGTTTGTGTCGGATTTCTGGGGCGTTATCCAATGCATAAATACGCACACATCCCATCTATCTGAGAGCACATATATTTTCGTATATATATTTCAAATAATGACCACAAAACTGTCATTAGACACGGCGCATAAACAGTCGAAACAATAATAAAGGCGCAGAGAGGCAGAAAAAAAGACGACGAAAATTAAAGTGGATGGCAAACAGAGCGCATCGATGGCATTGAATAATAATATTTCACCGCTTCGCCAACTCCTTCAGGTAATACCACTGCCACATCGCCCATACACTTTTCTGGTACTTCTGGTACTTCTTTGCCGCTGTTTGTTCATAATTTGTTTATGTGCCGTGTTTGTTGGCCTGTTGGTGTTTGGGGAGTGAGGAGTAAGGAGTGAGGTCTCTGCATATTCCATTGATTTAATTGATTTGAAAAAAAAAGGAGAGAAAAAATTCAAATCACGAAAGTGTTAGGAAATCGAGCGAAAGAAGTAAGAAGACTCTCAGAACCCTTCCAGCCATCTCTCTCTACCTACCGATATACCCCCTCTCTTTCTGTTTAAACAGGTTCTGTCAGCGAACTGTGAAGAATTCTTTTTTCCGTGCACGGCAAGAAAATGTAAGTCTGTTTTTAGAAAGTATTTAAATTGGTATGATTGGGTGAGCGATTGGCAAGGCTTAAATTGTGTGAAAATCGCGTCATTATATTGTAAGCATGTGGGCATTTAAATGCACATCGTTTGGATACTTTCTTTTACCAAATAATCAATCTATGTTTGTTTAAAATAAAATAAATAATAAATTCTTTAAAGTTTTAATATTATTTTAAAGCCAAGTAAATCAAAGATTTGCAAATTTGAGAGAAACTACTAAAAATGTTCCCTTATTTTTTCCAAGTGTACCGGTTTCGTGTTTTTTTTTTTCTGTTTTTGAACCTGCGTGCCCAAGAGTCAGCATTCCTGCCCCTCTCGCCATCCCCCTTCCACCACTCCCTACTCCCTATCGCTACCTCTCGCTCTGGCTCTGTTTAAAGTGAAAACCTGTTTTCTCAATAATAAAAACTAATTTATTTACTAGTTGTAGGTACAAAGAACAACAGCAACAACAACAACAACGAGCGAGGCCCAAAGAAAACGACTGAGAAATATACTCCGAAAAACCATGGCGACAAAATAAAAGAGCAAAGGAGAAGGAAGAAAAGGTTCGAAAAAGGGGGAAAAAAAACTGCGTGTGTGGCTAATCAGAATCAAATTGATTTAAATTTGAATGGTTCGACGGGTAAAGTGCGAGTCCATAGAAGGGGGCGGAGCGGTGGAGGGGGGCGTGGTGGGACAGGTGAGCGGGTTTTAAGTGAGAAAAAAAAAGCGATAAGTTGTTCCCGACTTAAGTGAAGTTTGCTCTGCTCTCCTCTTCTTATCTGTAATTTCTGATTTTCGACCATTTGGAATGTCGATCCCATTTTTTTTCCCGGCCTTTCAAAGGCAAGCAAAAGTTTGTTCAGGTGGAACAAATATTTAAGGGATAACATACATTAGGCAATTTATGATTGGTGCATTTTTAAAAGGTTTTTGTTTAGTTTTTTGAGTCACTTAAAACAGAATAAGATATATTAAATTTTAATTCCTATTATTAGATATTTTAACAACAATGTATCTACAAATCAACCTATCTTAAAAAACACTAAACTAAATATAAATATTGCAAGAAAATTCTTTACAGAAAAATACCCCAACACCTTTGGCGTCACGCAAATTTTAATGCACTCCAAAACTATTGGAATTTTCCTTTAACTAGACAAACATCAATAATCACAGGTGAGCGCTAATTGTAGCAACAAATATTTGTCGATCGAGGGGTATAGGAAAAAGAAGACCCGAAAGGAAAATCCAACGAGAAGGGGAAAACTAAAATTCGAACTTAGGAAATTTTCAAAGAGTTTGCAGCTGCGATTGTTCTTGTTGTTGTTGCTGTGTTATTATTGTTGCTGCTGCTGCTGTTTTGGGTTTGTTGTTTGGAAAATTGCAGGCAGCGAAAAGTATTTAGGGGAAAACTGAAACTGAAGCCGAAGCTGGGCAAAGAACAATACCCGAAATACGAAGAAAGTATCTTAAAGATAGCAAACTGCACGAAAGCCAAACAAAAGCAGCGGAAGTACCCGTTGGGGGGGGGTTTATGGTTGGTGAGATTGCGGATAAGATGGCTGGTTGGTGCAAAGTATCTACAAGTCGAAAGCGCAAAGTTTAGCGCTCACTTTTGACACAGTAGACGAGCTACAAGATACACACGAGCCGAAAGATACAGATGCGGATGAGTCAGAGGAGGGTTGGCTAGTTAATAGTGTATAGTGCATAGTGTATAGTGGCTATTGGCCAGTGGATGGTGGATAGTGGATAGTGGGGGCCTCAGTTGACAACAGGTGGCTTCACTTACCTGTCTGTTTATGTTTTACGCTCTCCAGTTGTTGTTCTTGCCTGCTGCCCGCCTATGTTGCCGTTCAATTACTCCGGCCTGCTGCTCCAACCTTTGTTTTTCCACCTGGTCTCAAGAAAGCTGGACTCTGTGCCCTGCATCCAACCATGCGCCAAAGTTTCCAAAGTTATGCTGCAAAAAGATCACAGGAGTGAGTGGGGAAATGGCCATCGCAAATTCCGAAAGGTAAACAATAATAGACAAGCAAATTGCTAAGCAATATTGACGTTTTTGTTTCAGGAAGAAGTTTTTGTTTGAAGTAGTAATAATAAAGGAATACCAAATTATCCTTGTTAAAATATATTTTATAATTAATTTAAAGAAAAAATTAATACTTTTTCATTCCAAACATCAACAAATCCAAGAAAATTAATAACAAAAAATATACAATGCAAAAAGATTTTTGTGTAGGCTTTCAAAAATGTTTTGACAGCCAATCTCGTTTACCAAGTGATTCATGAATATTTATCATATTTTTTTTTTGTTCATGATAAAACTTTAGAAATTAACACTTTTATGTGGGCAATCCAGTTTTGGGACGGCCCAGAATTTTAATTCCATGCAAAACTAACAACTTTCTGAGTCACGGCAGACGACCGCAAGCCGAGATTTATAGATGACAAGGAGAAGATATATATTTTTACTGGTCTGGCCCTTTAAGCCCGTATTTAAAGGCCTTTCATTCCCTTTTTTTCCTCCACCAAAAGCCTTTTCATCTTACGGACCATGACCCCGGGCTAAGCCTTTCTTGGTTCAAGCGTTGCAAACTTGCCTCAAGTTCAATTTTCTTTTGTCCTATAAAAAAAAGAAAGAAAGAAAACAAACTACTAAATAAAGTTAAATGCGCCAAGCGAAAAAAGAAGATCAAACTTTTGCTAGTCTTGGCAGAATTTTCTAGTCATTGCAAAAAAATTAAGTGAATATAAAAATGTGTGTTTCGATGTAGATGAACTTTTTGGTACCCCGGAACTTGAAAATTACTTAGCACTGATTGGGTGGAGTTTTTAAAAATATAGCTATTATTTTTAAAGAGTTTAATAAACGTATAGTTTACAAAAATTTTAATGCAATTACATATAAGCAATTTAAGATTACATTACATAAGAACATGGAATGTGTTTATATGTTACTTTTTTTAAAATCATAAGCAAAGATATTTTTTCAAAAGTATAATGAGGGTATAATTTCTTTAGAAGATATAATTTTTAAGCTACTCGAAAATACTAAGAAATTTAAGATTGTATTACATAAAAACATGGAATGTGTTTATATGTTACTTTTTTAAAATCATAAGCAAAGACATTTTTTTAAAAGTATAATGAGGGTATAATACTCCTTTTTAGAAGATATAATTTTTAAGCTACCGAAAATACTCTTTGCCATCCATTGGCAAGAATTTTGAACAGAAAAAGTCGGCAGAAAACAGCGTGAGATACTCAATCGAATTAAAATGCATTCGAGTAGCAATGACACTGACACGCCCCCTCGCACCGCCCCCTCAACCGAAAAGACGAAGAGCCGAATACGCAAAAAACAAAAAAAAGGCAGAGAAAAGATAAAAAACGATACGAAATGGCACGGCGTCGGCAACTTAAACTGTGGCAAAAGTTATTGTAACTTTTGCCCGCCGGCAAGGCAATGCCAATTGAGGGGTTTAAGGGTTTTCAGGGGGTTTTTAGGGGGATTTCAGGGGCGGGTGCTATAAAGGGGGAACACATCCAACTGATACTAAAACTGAGGCGCCACGCGCCTACTTGCCACGCATTTCCTTCCACATTCCCGCTGAAATCTTCTGGTTATTTTATATTATTTTATTTTTTTTTGTGACCTCAATCTTTAGTTCAATGCGTGACTGAACGGGGATGAAAAGGGGGTCATGAGGGGGCGGCAGTGGTTTTTCGGGCCGGAGTCTTGCCAACTGTGACTTTTTTATTCAACAACGACAACTTTGGTCTGTTTTACAGGACCAAGATACAAAGAAAACAAAAACAAGAGCGGAAGCTTGGAACCGAATAATATAACACGCTTGCAGATATGACAACTATGAGTTATTAAAAGACACTTTCATTTTATTTTCATACAATTATATAGATATAAGGTATTTGTTGTCTTTTCTATAGCAGCAAAGTTAACTTATAAAAAGATGCAATCTTTAAATTTTTAAAATCTAAATTCAAGTATCCTTAAAAGAATTATTTAAAGACACATTGATTTTATTTTTATACTAACATTAACAAATATCAGGTATTCGTTGTGTTTTTTAAATGTTTAATCTTTAAACCTTTTAAATCTAAATTTAAGTATCCTTAAAATTATTGCTCTAAGAAACATAATGAATAAATAATATAATTTTTGTAAAAAAAAAAATCCCCTTACAATATGACACTATACTTATGTGTTTGTACTTTTACCTTACTAAACTCAAAGGTTTTTCATTCATAGCATTGCAAACTTTCTAAAAATAGTATTCATCTCCTTTTATAGGGTATTAGCACCCAAAGGCCAACCAGAAATCGTAAGAAATTTCTTTCTTTATTCCACAGGAAGTGGTATGGGGATTCGCTTACAAAGATGCTATTTAAATGATTAAACGCTCTGAATTACCGAATTTATCTCATGTCTTTTTGGTCAGGGCCAAGTTCTTTTGCGTTTTTGTTCTTTTGCGTTTTTGTTCTTTTCGTTTTTTGTTTTTTTTTTTTTTGCTGCTGTTTCGGTTTTTATTTCATTCGTGATTTTTTGTATTTCGCTGAGATATCATATGGAATGAATGACATTAAGTCGGGCGAAAAATCACGCAGCGACCGAACAGCTCCCTTTTCATTAACATTTACCATTTGGGCTAATCGATTTGAGTTTTGATTTGATATTTTGCATTTTAATTCGAGCGTCATAAAATTAAAATCTCTTTGGACAAAACGTTTAATATGGAAACAAGGATGGCATGTAAAGTGAGTGCCCAAAAAAAGATGAGTAGTGCGGGGGCCAAGCAAATAAAGGAAGATGAAAGAACTTTGATTTGATTCCATTCGATTGACTTGAGTCGAGCAAAGCTTCTTTCTTTGATTTAAATTTAATTGATTTATATATTTTTATTTTGCAGATTGTTATAAGTTTAATTGAAATGCTTACTTTCTGTATACTATCAACTGCGAACAAAAGATATTAAATCTTTTACTTGTTTTATTATTAAATGACTATTTTAAACCTACAAAACTATACTTAATTTTTTAGAGACAGAAACTCACTATTTAATGTTGTAAATTCTGAAGTTGCAAGGCCAACCAAAGACGTCTTTATCTTTGATTTGTATCTTAATTACATGACTTTTGTTTACTCACAAATACAAAATTCATATTTTTAGAAAATGTGTTAAAATGGGTTTTCTTACATTCAAAAGCCAAGCAAATTTTGTTTAATCTTTTATTTGTCAATTAAGTGACTCTACATTTAATATGTTTCCAGTTGAGACACAACTTCTATTGCATTTTCCCATACAAAGAGCAGAAAATTTTGTAGAAACTACAAGCATTCACACGCAGTCAAGGGAAGAAAACATCTCTGTCCGGGGCTCTCAGCTTGTCACGGGTTCAGAGACATATCAAAATTAAAAATTATTTCTTCGAAAGATAATTTCGTCTGACATTTGCTTTTTCCCCCAGCAATTCAGAGATCCAGAACGTTGCAAACTTGCTGACATGTAGTCATCAACGTGGCCCCCGCCGCTCCTTTGTGGCCAAAGGAGTGGAAATTGTTGGCCAGGTCAAGTGGTTGACCGTGAATGAGCGAAAAAGACAAAAAAAAAAAAAAATATGAGAATGAAAATGGAGACACAATTGTCATATGAGCAAGAGCATGACAAAACTGTTTTCTTTTTTTTTTCTCCTTTCTCTAGCGAAGCGAGGAGAGAAAAGTTTGCCACACACACAAAACAATTTGTCGATTGTCAAAAGGGGGAAAATGCCAAAGGCGGGAAGGAGTACGTCCGTTTAGTTAGAATTTTTTTGTTCAAACGTTTATCAGCCCAAAGCAATCAAAGTCAAGTTACCATGGGCGGCCGCCTACCCCTTCCCCCTTCCCCCTTCCCCCTCCTCACTATTTCCCTTTTAAAACTTCATTTCCTATCGCTACGCACATATTGAAAAATCATTTGGAAATTTAATATCTTCAAAGAGTTTATTCTTTCTTTGCTCAATTAAAATGGCAACTACCAGGGAAATACAAATAGTATAAAGAAACCAATTGAAAAGAACAAGTTCTTATTTAGTTTACTCTGCATAAATTGTAAGCCCTTCTTTGATAGGGATAAATAAATGAAAATATTCTAATGGAAGGCAGATCGTTATTTATTTAAAAACGCATACAAAACCTACCCGCACAATAAAGTATAGGAAATAAATTAAAAACAATATATAATAAGAACAAAAACAGTCAAGGGTTTAAACAAATATCATCTTATCAAACTTCCATTTTAAATAGTATAATATTTTAATGTGGGAAAGAAAAGAGTCTTCGTTGACACTTATTTTATTGAATTAGAAGTGTGTGGTTGCATACATGAATGTAAAAAAGAAATAAAACCATTTCCAAGTCATAGTTGCACAATATCTTTTACATGTGGTGGCACAAATTTTATTATTTTCTCTTCTGGTTAAATGTAATCAAATCTACTTCAAACTTGCTCAAAAGTAACAACCAAGAGAGCAACCTTTTCTTCTTTCAATTTATTTAACTTCTCATAACGTTTTCATCTTTATTTTCCGTTTATTTTCATTTGTCGCACGCGGCGACTGCAATAAAAGTTGAATAAATATAACCTTAAACGGAAGACACCACAGCAAACAAATAAACAGCAGAAAAAAAAACAGCTAAAGAAAAACAGTACAAAATCGTAAAAAAAAAAAATTAAAATAATAATAAACAAGCAAATTGAAACTCTGCTCAGGCCCTCGGCTATTAAAAGGGGAAAAGAAAAAAGAGAAAGAGGAAACCAAGACTATTGAAGACTTTGACTTGGGCTTCCAATGAAGGAAATTCTAACATAATTAATAACTGAAAAATACGTTAAAAAACGTTGGCTAAAATTCATGCGAAAAGATACTATTGTGTAATCTTCAATCTCTAGTCTTTTAAGTACGCCTATCTGTCATCTTTGTCCTATATCTTTGTGGCAAGAGTCTTCTTCGATTTCCTCTTTAAGCTGACATTGTTCTCAGCGACATTTGCATTCAACTTCATTCGGCCCGTTTATATATATTTTTTTCCATTCAAACCGAGTTTATTCCGTTTCCTATTCCCCGTTTAGTTTTATAGCCTGACCGGGTTCACATAATTCTTGGACCTTTTTTAACTTCTTATTACAGTTAATGGCGATGTTAACTAACTTTTTGTGGCTTGCCTGATTTATTCGAGCATCTAAAAAATGTCTTGTAAAAATGTTTATATCTTGAGTTGCTTTTTCTCGAATTCTTTGCGCTTATTTCTTTAAACTGCTTTTAAAATAGTATTTTTTCGATTTAAATTAAGGAAAACGCAGAAAAATGTACCCCTCTACGAAAGCTAATATATCTGATTTTCAACTTTACTGATTTGACTGTAAAAGTAACCTAGATACCATCTTGATTCCTAAAACCTTGGAAATTTGGACATTTCTGTTGCTGTTAATATTTAACTTAGTTTTGTTTAGTTTATTAGCCTGTCCCTTGGAATTTTATCCTCAACTTCCTCCCCATGAGGCATATTGTGATCTGCAGCTGACGTAGACCGCAAAAATTGAAATTTGTATTTAGATTCCACTTAATTGGCATGCGAATTGGCTGTGGCTCATTAGCCCCAAACGTCCCCTTTGCCCCCTAATTCCTGCCAAAGCCCTGTTATGCAACACATTGCCAAGCACTTAACAATGTCAGGCTCCCCCTGTTCCCGCCCCTCCCCTTTCCCCCTGCCCCCCTTGCCAGTTGCCATTAAAATGTCATGCACTTGGCGCGCTAGAAACTAAAAACTACGGTCCAAATTGACTAAATCGAATTTTATAGGAGTACAAATGGCGTTTTATCTACAACAAAAACTCTAAAAACGAACTCCTAATTAGAATTCATTAAAATTGAATTTTGTTCACTGTTATTTTAAGAGGTTCAAGTTTTAGAAGATAAAATGCATTTTTTTGAAAAAAAAAACACCCTAGAATTAAAGATTTATGTTGAATTTTTATAGCACAAAATTAAATGCTACATTTTCAATTCATTCTGTTCAAAAGTGAAATAAATTAATGAATCATATTTTTGTGCAGCTCTAAGCATTTTAGATTTAAGATTTTGTTTGGTCTAGTCATTATTTAACGTTAAATACCTTTGTAACTCAAAATTGAAGTTAAACAGTAAAACCTGAAAACATACCATGGTGCAGAAAAGTAGTAAGAAAGGGACAAAAATTGGAAGATACGTAGGGTTTTGGTAGAAAGAAAACCACAATACAAGGAACAATATAGTAATGCGAAATGCACAATAAAGAGCGAGCCAAGAAAAGGGAGAGAGAGAATCTGATCTGATCCTCTCAAAAATGAGAGAATTTTTATCTACTTTCCTATCTATCTCTTTCTCGCTCGCGCAAAATGCAAGTGAATGGTGCAGCAGCAGCAGCAACAACAAAACAATTTTTACCGTATTCTTTTTGTCCTCTTCTTTCGCTCACCTTTCTTCCTTATTTTTTTTTGTTCACAGACTAAATTTTTCGGTAAATTTGCCACTTTTGTTTTGTTTCTCGAATTCCTTCGTACTTTTCTCTCACTTTTTGGCACTGGCTTTTAATTCTCAGCTCAATCTCCTTGATTTGGCTCACTCACTGATTCGTTGAAATTTTTGTATTCGTTTTGGGGGGCACAGTAAAAAAAAATTGGTAAAATTTTGGAACTTATGTATGTTTATGCCTTTTTATTTTCGATTTTGATGTTGTTGTAATTTATATTTTCGCACCGAAAATCCAGGAGCCAACCGAAAAGAAAATAAAAAAAGCGCAGGCGAAACAAATTCGGTGCTCGATTTCGATTTTGGGTATTACGAATTACGAATTACGAAAAGGCAATTGCAGAAGCGGAAAAAGGAACCGGTTTATTTAACAATTTCTCCCTCGCCTCGCTCACACACACGAACACCGACGCACAGCAGCAGCAATAATAACATAACACACACACACGCGCGCGCCGAAAGGCCGAAAAAGCCGAGTTCCGAATTTCCTTTCCCGTTATATTTTTTGCCGCCGAACGCAACGAAGTCCAAATTCGATTTGAATCGCGAGCGGAGCGCCAAGCAATATCGCAACTCCACTTTCCACGTTTGCCGTCGAACATTGGGCCGGCTCGACGTCTGAGTTCGATGCGAACTTGTATGGCCACAGAGCTGTTTTGCCCTGTTAGTTGTCCTCTGTGCCGGTGTTTGTGCGCCATGTTATTAACAGCGGGCGAACTCGCTGCGAACACGGTTCGGAGCAGATGTTCGACAGAGCGAGCCTGCAGAGCCTGTATTTGACAGGCTTGATGTTCGAGTTGCATGTGTGGACCTCAAACAAATTGAAGTCATAAGGGAAACTTCGAATAAACCGAAATAAACTGAAAAACCAAACGGAAAACTCGAAAAACAAGCTGCAGCCGCAGTTTTTTTAATGCTTTTGTTGTACCCCACGAATTTAAGGAGCACAGGGCATTTGAGATTTACAAAAGGGAAATTAATTTTTAAATAATTTATGATATATTATTAATTTGTAACATCTCAAATAAAAATTAGTAAAAATGGGTGAATTCTAAATATATTTGAATTTATTCAATACTTACTTAAAAATATAATCTGATTTACATACATACATACGCAATTTACAATACATAAGACCTACAAATACTTAATTGATGTATGAAGTATTGAAGTATTTATGATATATTATTAATTTGTAACATCTCAAATAAAAATTAGTAAAAATGGGTGAATTCTTAATATATTTGAATTTATTCAATACTTACTTAAAAATATAATCTGATTTACATACATACATACGAAATTTACAATACATAAGACCTACAAATACTTAATTATAATACTGTTTTAAGTTTATAAGTTTCTAAATGCAAATAATCAGACAAATATGTATGAAAATCGGTTTAGGTCCTTTAATTAATGACAGAAATGCGATATGTAAGCTTGTGTTTTAGAAATCCATAATAAAGATATAAGTATCTTTAAATATTTATTTCTAAATAAATGAGAATATATTTTTAAAATTTAATAGGTAGTCAGGTTAATGGAATAAAACATTATTATTTACAATAACATGTTTTTGTATATTAGAATATCTTTTTCGAGCTGCCATTGCAATACTTCCGCTTATTTATCAACATAATTAAAATCCCATTAATGGGTAACCAAAAGTCGGAAAATGCGGCTTTAGAATTCTGACTTGTGTCGGTTTTGTGGCTTTATTTATTTATTTTTTTTTTGTGGCAAGAGTGGACGGTGGTGAACCGGTTCAACAGGATGCAGGAGAGCACTGCAAATCGCTACCACAACAAAACAAAACAAAAGTGGGAAAAAAGGAGAAGAGTTCTCCACTAGCTGTCTCTGTTGCACTCGCACTCGCATTGTCCATCTCGCTCTGGCTATCTCTTTGCATTTTGCCAAAGAGCAAACCAACCTGACAACAATTTTCGCCACTTCTCTTCCTCTTCTCTCTCGGCCAAATGTAACTAAAATGGCAAACAGAACCGGTTGAGGTTCGTTCGCCCAAGGAATGCACACAAAGCAAAAAAAAAAACTAAACAAAGAAATAAAACTAAAGCAAGAACAACAACAAAATCTTAAGCAGCAACAACAACAGAAGCAGCAACAGCAGCAAAATGCAAGGCAAGAAAAAATAGCAAAAGGTGCAAGGCAACATCTGAAAAAGTACAGGGCTACCTCCTTAAATCGAACATTGAACAAGGACAAATTAAATCTAGCACAAATTAACTATACATTTGAAAAGTTTTTTTTGAAAATAAATTTATTTTTATTTGCATTAAATAAAATAAAAGAAAATTGATTGAATTAAAAATTATTTTTAAAGTGTTATTCATCTTAATCAATTATTTAAAACTCTAAAATTAATAGTTTTCATAAAAGTTTGTATTATCCTTAATGAGTTTAAAAATTATATATCAGAATTTTTGTACTTTAAAGCAATTTATGAAGTTTTTATTTTATAAAACATGGCAAATTTCCTTAAAAATTAAATAGTTCTTAATTTTGTAGCCTAAACTAATTAAAGTAAGATTTTAAATTAAAAATATTTTTACTAAGGCAAATGGTCAAACATGTTGTGGTACCAAAGTTGGTTTTGTTGAAAATCTCAGCAAGAGAGGCCAACTTATCAAGGCTGCACTGTAATTGTAATCCGCGAGTTCGGTCAGTTAGAGTCGCTGGTAAGACCCCCTAACACCAAACCCCCCCACCTCCCGCTGCCCATGCAAAAAGAAAACCAAAAGGAATGACATAAATCTGCGTGGCAAACAAAAGACTCAGGCAACGAACGTGCCACAAAAGCGTGTTGCAACAAAAGCGCAAAAGCCTGCAACTGGATTACTGTTACACGAAAAAGTGGGAGCGCGACAGCGAACGAAAGGGGGGAGCGCAAGGGAGCGAGGGAGCAAGAGAGACAGCAACAAGAGGTCAAATGTTGCGGGTCCGCGAACTTTTGTAGGTGAATTGACTTCTGCTCGAGTCACCCCAAAAATGGTAAATGGGTGGGAAGCAATCAGCGGATGCGGCAAAAAGCGCAAAAGAGAGAGGGGCTCAACAAGTTTGCAGTTCACAAAGGTGTTAAATAATAATAAATATGATCCTTTCCAAACGATTACCTTTACAGAAACGTGTTAAATAATGTATTACGAATTGTGTTTTGTGATGAAGTATACTAATTAAAATAGTTTTAAAATATTCTTTTCTTTTCTTGAAATTCTAAAAAGTTTCAATACATTTTCCGAAAAATTTAATGCCATTTGTGCTGTCATTCTCACAATGATGCTAAAATGCTAAAACATTAAATTATTAAAAGCTCTCACAATGCGTTATTTTAAACCTTTCAAAAATAACATCAAAGCTATTTAACCAAGTTAAAAATGGTGACTAATGGGAGTTTTAATTGGGGTCTCCATATCATATGTCGTTTAATGAGGCATTATTTAGGCCAAAATAGTGTCAAATTTAAGCTAAGCTTAACAAAAAATGGTAGTTGAACTAAATGCGTTTGTTGTTATTTGATTTAATTGTGTCGGGTTTTAACCCCTGACCAAAATGTATGGTAATTGTCGTTTTATTTTGTTTACCCATACATTTTGTGCGTTTTTTCATAAACTGTATATGCACATGGTTTTTAAATTGTTTACCTAAGTCAATTCTTAGTTTCATTTGGTAGTTCTCATTTTGTTAATGCTGAAAAATTAAATGCACAAATTCTGAAAGCAAACGTTCTATTATTAATTGTTGTCTTTAATTTGCGATTAATCCACTTTGAAATTGGTTACAATATCGATCAGCAATCAAATTCAAAAAGAGCAATCATTTAAACCGAAAAATGGACATTCATATGCAACAGGCCACCGCCTTCGTTTCCCACCATTATTTGGTTGACCATTTAAGCCTCATTTGGAGGCCGAACTCTGAACTTTATTGTTTCTGCTGGCTGGTATTTCGTATCATTCAAGTCTCATTTATTGTTCTGCGGTTTTGTTTTCCTCTTGACTCTGCTGTACTGTGCTGTGCTGTGCTGTGCTGTGCCCGCTGTTGTTTCGCTTTTCTTTTCTTTGGCCACTTAGAAGTCGCCATACGAAACACTCCGGCACTCGGCGCAAATTTGCTGCGCACCACGAAAAAATATGACCCAAAATAAGAAGGAGACAAGCGGCAAAGAAAATAAACAAAATGAAAAAACCGCAAAATAAATAAGACGAAAATTATGCAAAGCGCAGACAAATGCGCAAATTTGAAAAATGCCACAGCAACAACAATGGCAGCAGCTGCGCTTGGAAACCCCCCTCCCCTGGCCCAAAAAAAAAAAAGTGCGGGCTCTGTGGCGCAAAGTTCTCATTGCAGATTTGTCGATACTCTAAACGGTGACACTACCATAACCAACACTTGCAACTAAATTCTGTTTCAGTAGTTATTGCAAATATTTTTAATCAGATGATATTATTTTAAAATTTAAAGTATTGTCAGCAAAAACCTACTCAACAGCCCTGGACAGTGGACATTTTCGATAGTTTTGACTATCGATAGTATTGATTCGATTCAAAATGTTTAAAAATAAGAAAAAACGGTAGTGTATGTAAATATAACAAAACAAAAAATATTTTTTTAAATTTTAAGGGGAATCGAAGCATGCTTAAAACATACAAGCTACAACAAGCCAAATTTTACTACATTTGCTAAATGAAAATGAAAAGTTAAGTTTTGAAACTGATAAGAAAAAAAAAATTGTTAGAGCGATGTTCTCGAAAATGCTTTACAAAGCTTAACTACAAAAAGAAAATTTCAAATATATAAGACCTTAAAACTTACAAGTGGTTTAAAAATAAAAAATTAATAATTATTTATTTTAGATAAGATTTGCACATTTCGGATTTATGGATTCACGAATCAAGAGAACTAAAATCTCTAACGCCTTAAAGTTATTTAATAAGCTAAACTGGCTTATATTTTATATTTGAATATTTTTCGCATTGATTTTCATCCATTGCGGTTTTTAGTTATTTTAAATATGAAAATATTAAAACTTTTAAAATTTTTCATTTGACTAATTTAGTTTTAATTGAATCATATTTTCTTAAATAAAATGCACTCAAATCAAAAAGGAACTAATTTAATAATTTTCACATAAATTTAAATATTTTAATATTAATACCTGCTGTTTAATATGCATTGTGTTTAATTAATTTATGATTTAATATTAAATTTAAATATAAAATATGAATTCAGATATTTTGTTTTAATTTTCCATTTTTTGATCAGTGTAGCTTTTTTAAATCAAACTCTAAAATGTGTTAGCTGCAATGCCCTATTAATTCCCTCTCTGCGATTGAGTTTTCTCTAGCAACAAAATCGATTTCCCTTGAACAAACCCACTTGATATGAACGTGTGAATATGTGTGTCAGCTCACTACCCAATTAGTTCCCCCAACTGAGGCGCCCTTCCCCTCCTTCTCCCCTGCGCTCAGTTACCTATCACTTAAAGAAAAAAATTGGTTTTGGTTAACGAAGCTGGGAACACACTGA